TGCGGCAGAGAATCAGAGGCGGTTACGCCAGATCTGTCAGAACACCGCCATATAAGAGCTCCGACCCCCCAGAGGGGAGGGGGATGAAAAAGGGAGGTAACCCCTGCTCTCTAGCTCTCTCATTTCTCTAATATCATCTTCAAGCTCTCTACTATCAGAGTGCTAACTTAAGCATCGGAGTGGCCTCGCCAGGTAAACACCCCCGGGTCCTCTTATTCARTTCTCGCAGGTTCCTCGGCTCCCGCCGTCTACAAAGAGGAGCAGATTATCTCATGCAGAGGGCAGTCGGGTTGCACTCTACCAGGGAGCTTGCCACCAAGGCAGCACACCCAGCAGCTCATCAAGGTAGTTCACCACCAGGGAGCTCGCTATCAAGTAGCTCACCACTAGGCAGTTCGCCACTAGGGAGCTCCACCATCCTCAGAGTCACAGGTCACCTGGGAGCAGGTCAAATGACGAAGTACTTAGCCAAAAAATTGATACATCACAAAAAAATTGGTACATGACCGGAAACAGTTACGTCAATTGGCATCGTCTGTGGGAAACGCTTCAAAAAGCCTCTCACCAAGCAACTTCAGTAAGACTTCAATGGCTTCCTCCAGCAACGCCAGACGAAGTGCCGACCAAAACACCTCCGGGGAACAACCTCAGCTCCCTACTATCTGCATTGGCCAATTCACTGTACCCCTCTCCGCAGACGGAGTCCCTACCCTGAGCGTGCCTTAGATCATGGCGCCGGTAAGTGCTCCACTCCCCTCGCCAGTAGAGACGACCTTTGCAGAACCTTCAGTTCTCCCGGTGGCCGGATAGAACCAGCTGGAAAACCTGGTACACTGCATGCGAGMTATGCAAGCTCAAATGCAGCAGGTCCATCAGTTTCAGTTGTACTAGCAGCAAATGCTTCACCACGTCTACCAACAGTAGTTCCCACCGCTGCCTCAGCATCAATAGCAAGTTCCACCTCGACACCCCGCTACGTAGCAAGCTCAGCCCCGCCGTCGCAGCGAGCGTCTCCCCCGCCGAGGAGAGACCTCCCGAACTCAGAACCCTCTCGGGAGTTAGGTCTCTTCCCACGGCAGGAGGGAAAGACAAGTTACTCCCCCCACCTCGCAGCTTGTAGTCAGGTTGGGGGACTCTCAGCCGATCAGACCCGCATCGCCTAGGCCCTCGCAGTTCAAGATTCC